CCCATTTTACATTAGGGAGAAAGCAGTTCCCAGTTTTGCAAAATAGCTTGACAAACTAAATCATTTGCTGTAACCATTTAGGAGTCTTCCTCCTCCTGAAGGGCTCCTCAGTATACTTTGAATAGAGAAGCAGCTGCTCTTCAAAACATTTAAGGCCAAATTGAAATCGCTGATGTGCAATATATTTCGGTTCCTAACCTGCAGGGCTGTGTAATTGCATGCACTCACTAAATAAGAAAAACAACCCATGAACTGTATTGACATTGTGGTTGTGCCTAGAGCCATACTGCAGCAAAGAATCGCACAAATACATGGGAAAAAAACAGTAAGTATTCCAAAAAGCTCATCGTGTATAGGGTCTTTTCAACTTTTTTCATCCTTTTCAACATTTATAGATGACTGAAAAGAACAACCATTGGTTTTCACTACGATGACATTGGATACATTTATTTTTCATTAGAAGAATTAAGGGACTGGAGAACTAGCACATTCCTGCACAAACCTCAGGGATTAGGCTGTGCTACATCTGGGAATTAACAAACTAGTCTCAACAAGTTTGATCTTTCTGGGAAAAGATAAAACTGAACTACAGGCTAAGCAAAGAAAGAACTGATAACCTTGCAAGATTTGTTCTGAGTTTTTTTGTTCATGAACCACATAAAAAGAAAGTAATGTCAGACATAAAAAAAAATTATTATTGCAACAAGCAAGAGTGAAAAGAACAGCTTGTGAAGAGCCTTCTAGACAAACTAATGGTAGATAATTCACTGATAGCATAATTTTGTTTGCTTCTCTCTAGCACATAAATCCATAAGAACAAGCTGTGCTGTTATACCAGATACTGCATCTGATTTCTCTAAATCCTAAAGCATTTAATGAAGCATGGGGTATAAAGTGTGATGTTGTATTTGATACTCACATGTTTGGGACCTGACATCCCATGGCTGTCTGAAACTACAGTTGACATTTTTAAACTTTTATTCTGTGACAAAGGCATTGCAGATCAAAACTCCTGACCTTCATGGCAGTAAAAACCCAGAAACTTCTGACAGTAATAATTCAGCTAATCACAAGGACTACCCCCTTTTCTCATCTGTAACAAAACAAACACCCCACATAGTGTAGGGGATGTCTTAAGCTAAATGGCTAGTGTTCTGTTCTACAGCTAACATCATCTTCTGTTACAAACATGCCATTGACATAATATCCACAAACCACAGGATTTTATCATTTAAAGGTATTTCTCGGTGAACAAGAAAGATAAGGACATTTTGGTAAAACTGTGTGACAAATTCTTGCAAATTGAAATGACCAATAAAGCCAAACCAAGTAATAAAAAAAAAAAAAATCAGTGTAAATTTAATGTTGTCATAGCAAATACGTCTGTGTTAAAAATAATGTTTTAGAAGCAGTTGAATTGGATAGCTCTAAAGAGTTAATCTTTAAACCCAAGATGATTTATTAACTATTTAAAAGACTTAGTAAAGATAGAGTAGAAATACACTATTTTTTTTTCTGGTAGCACCTAAAAGTCAAAAATAAAAGATAAAAGATCCCAAAAGGGGTAAGGCTGGAACATAACTAGTATTTTGGTTAGAAGGAAGTTATTGAGACTTAGAAATACCAAGTAGGAGGGGCAATGGATCTGGAACAGAACATCTCAGGAAGGCAGTTGTAAGCAGTACGTTCAATAAACTTGGCCATAGAGAATAATAATTTAAAAAATCCATAAAATAAGAACCGCCATAGTGGCTCAGAGCAAAGGTCCATCTTATTCAATTGCTCTTTTCTGACTGTGACTGCTAGTAGACACTGAGAGAAATTAAAAAAAAAAAAAAAGCATAAAAAGATCTTTTCCCAGTATATATTCTGGATCATCAAAGTCTTAGGTACTTCCTGATTTAAGAAGATGAAGGAAATGCAGATGTAGATGGTTGAATGGATGAAGATTTAAAAAATCAGAATTATCTTTAAGATTTATAGAATTAACATATTGCTTTTAAGTGCTATACAGAGATATGATTGGTAACCTTTATTTGGGTATGTAAACATTTATCCCTATATCAAACTCCTCAAGTGCATACATTACCAGAATATGAAATTAAAGAAAGTCATGAAAGAAAACAGAAAACAGATGGCATATGCATATATAACAATTACTAAAAAAACAACTTTCAAACTTGTGAGATAAGAAAAAAAAATGCCTCAATTTTCCTCTTTTCTCAGCAAAAAGGAACAATGGCAATAGTTCATCCCTGAAAATGAATTCAATAACAAATCAGACACCCAAGGAGAATGAAATCAACAATAATCGATTATTACAGTTGTGCTAACGTAATTGATTTAATCGCATAGTATGAAAAGGTTACTGTTAAAAGCAAAAGTATTTATGTGCTTTTCTTGTTCTCAGAATATTCTGTAGGAGTCCCACACTTGGATCTGTGCTCCCATGATATGGCTGGCAGGAACTTCCATAGGTCTACTGTTTCCATAAATTCAGAAGAGATAAGCCTCCTCAACAGTAGAGAGCGTATTTCTGTGCCTGACTGTGCATACAGTGATCCCAGCTATCTTCAGATGGTAATTACTTTTTAAAAGAAAATAGCAGAAAAGAATGCAAACTGTACCCCCCGTTCTGCAGGAAAGGTAGATGAGTGAGCAGGGATCTACTATAATTATACACCTGTATTTCTTGTTCTCCAAATAGAAGTAATTTTCTTTTCTCCATGTGGTGGTAATAATAATACACCCTGGCTCCAGCAAGCTAAACTTCTCAAAGAATGTCTCTTTCAAGACTGTCCTCTAGCAATAAATTATAACAAAGAGAAAACTTTAACATGTGTGTTTCAAAGAGCAATGAGAGAAAAGTCAGGAATAGACAAGTAATGAAAAACAAAGTTTTGTTTCTAACATATGGGGGATAAGTTTCTGCAGGAAGAAAAAAAAAGTAACTAGTGACATTATGAAAAAAGCAAACAACAAATGACTTTTACTAAATTGGTGGGAGAATATGGGTGTTCTCAGCCCAAAATATGTGCCGTTGCACCATTTAGCCAATCCAGGGGCATAGTCCAGTGTTGTGGTTTGGGCCTGATCGGCAACCAACCGCTGCAGCTAATCCCCCTCCCTTCCCCCTCCCCACCTGGGAATGGGGGTGGGGATTAGAGGGGTGAAGGGAGACTCCCAGGCTGAGATAGGAACAGTTTAATAATGGCAATAAAACGAGAACAATAACGATGATGGGGGGAAAACAAAAAGAAATATAAAAACAGGCAATGTACAGCGTAATTGCTCACCACCCGCTGACCAATCCCCAGCCCGTTCCCGGGCAGCGACCCCGAGATACCAAGGTCCCACAATCGCAATCCCAGAAGCCAGAGAGCTCCTTCCCGACCACCCCTCCTCTATATAGTGAGCATGACTTTCCATGATATGGAATATTTCACTGGCCAGTTCGGGTCAGGTGCTCTGTCCGTGCTCCCTCCCTGCTCCCTGTGCCCTTGCGCACGGGCAGGACATGGGGACTCGGAGAGTCCTTGAAGTCTCGGTAGCAGCTGAAAACATCAGTGTGCTATCAGCATTTTTCCCATACCAAACCCAAAGCTAAATCCAAAACACAGCACTCAACTAGTCCCTGAAAAGGAATATTAACTCTATTTCAGCCCAAACTAAGACATCCAGGCATAAGTGCTTTCTGAAAGCATGAAGAAGACACCATATGGGTGTCCTGCAAGTCCCCTGAACAAGAATAAATACTTTGCCTTAGTATTCTCTTCATTACCTATAACTGAGTTCTGATAGCTGACAGACAGTGTCTGAACCACAAATGATATCACTGCCAGTGACACTGGAAACTTTGCCTTCCAGAGACCTGAGGAACCATGCCATCTCCCACCTTGTTATTTTGCTAATTCCTGAATGCTCTGGAGTATCTAAACTTTGTAGACACATACTGAACCATCCCAGAATAAAATTCAGATGTTCATTTGAGTTACTTAGACCAACCCTTAAATGCTAGAAGACTTGTGAACAGAGAAATTCTGATATGGTTTGTGATGGATTTTAACAGAAATTTCAAAAGAAGGTAATTAAGTCGTGAAGAATTTACTCAGATAGAGATTGTCATCAGACAAAAAATCCTTTAAGTAAGCAGGGCCATGTGCTTCTCTTACCTCTCCCCCCCTCCTTTCCACACAAAGGTATCATGTTCATTGCAGAAATTATGTTTGTTGGAGATAACTTTAACTATGATCAAGGCATGGCTTCTATCTACTACGTTGCTTCTCCTACATTCCTGTTTATACAAAGGGAAGGTGAGGGGAAGGAACACAGCATGCACAATGCTAGCAAATAGGAAATTTAAATGAAGGCCTTATGAGATAAGCTTAATTTGTCCCTTGTGACAAAAATAATTTCCTTCGGGAGAAATAATACACTTGAATTAGAAAAGAAAGGGAAAAGAGTTAAAAAAAGAAAAAAAGGGGAAAACATACAGTTGAAGGGCCAGAGAAACAGATTCACTGCAAACAGATCTGAAAGGAGGAGGCATATGAAGCTACTATTTACCATCAAATGCAGCATGCGTGCATCACCTCCTGGCAAGCGAGTTTAAAACTGCCAGAACACTAATGCTAGTGCATTCCTGCTAATCATATCAAGGAACCTCAGAACAAGGACAAGGATCTATTTTAATATTCACCACATAGTGATAACATTTTAAAAGTGTCCTTTTATGGATTTGTTTTACTCATCTACTTGTAAGGAAGGCTGGACACAACTTTCCTGCTGCAATTAATTTAATTTTAAGTGCAGTCTAAAGGTGTTCTAGAATACTCCTCTTTACTTGCTAGGTCAGGGATCAAACTTGTCAGCTACAAAAGACCAGTGTAAGAGGACCATGCGTCAGTTTTCCTGCTCCCTTTGCTGCATTTCTGAGAGCAGAATCCCTCTGAAATTTTACAGCTTAAGAGTCCTTCTTTAACATGACATTTGACCATTACCTCAGTTTCATTGCAGCAGAAGATATCCGAATGGGTATAAAATTGCGGATCTAGGTCAGCAAGGGCTGGAGCTGGATTAAATAAAGTCTTTACTGAAAAAAAGAAACAAAAAAATCTAAATCTCTAGTGTTCATAAACCATCACCTGAAACACCTTTGTGGTTAATTCACAGTCCCAAATGTTTATTATTAACTCACAAATGACTCTCAGTTTCTGTGTTCTCGTTTTATAGAACCGCTAAATGTTTTGTTTATTATATTAAAGTTCCCTTCTAATTCACATGCAGGCACCTGTCTTGATGGGAACATGACAAAAAAAAAAAAAAAAAAAACAGAAAAAATAACCAAGAAACTATTAAATAGAAAAAAAAAGAAGCAAAAAATCCTTAGACAGTAATGCAATTTGTTTAAACCGATGATGCTTCTTCCAGGATTTTAGTAAGTTTTACAAGAACTGATTCAGTTCTATAATTTTTTCAGTGTTATCTACATTCTGAACATCAAGAAACAAGGGTATGGAGTAATGAAGGGCATGTCCAGACAAGGAGTTAAACGTGCTTCTGAATGTGTTACCTAACTTGTTCAAACTGCCACATTATAAAACTCTAGTGTAGACAAGGCACTGTGTATTTTTAATATGCTATCTGGCAGAGCTAGACTTAAACTTAACACGTGGTAGAATATGTTAGTTAACCTAACTTTAAACTGTAGCCTAAGGCCCCGTGTAACAGCAGAAAAGGTTTGTCATGAGGACAGTATAAGTGACTTACTCACTGCTAACACAGGAAGTCTGCAGACTTGGTTTCTCACTTTGCCAATTTTATGATTAATAGTTCTGTGTCTTAACCACAAGGCCCTCATTTTTATATAAAGCACACTCTCTTACTTTAGAAATATTCCTTATAGTAAGTGATAAAGTCTTCCAACTTGGATGCCTAAATTTTCAGCCCTAAGCACATATTTAGACCCTAAACTACAGCACATAATATTCAGGCACCCTGAACACTTCTGAATCCCAGTTAATGCCCTAAAAGAGAAGGATGCACAGAGACTTCTTAAGTATGACTGCCGAGAAGTTTAGAAGATGATCTTTTTGATTAACACTCAAAGTTTTAGCCTTTGACTATATAACTTTATCATGCCTCTCTACCTGCCTCATTAAAAAGAGTATTAAAGTGACAAAGACATTTACTCAGAAGTCAGAAAATACTAGGATTAGGATTTCCAATGAAATCTTAATTTGGCTCCCTTATATTATTACAATACAGTAGGTATTATAATAAACTCTTTAATTATATGATCGCATACCACTGAAAAACAGCATGTGATCACATAATTAAAGACTGCAACATAATACATATGCAGAAAGGAGACAAATTAAGGTTTCACAGGCAACCTTAACTCTTGCATTTCCTATTTTCTGAATTGCAACTGTAATAATTTTTTTTTAAACACAAATCTTTAAAGTATACTTTCCTAGGCAACAAACTAACAAACAGCAGATATTGGAGAACAAATTCTGTCATGTGGTATCATACCACCATACACCTGGGTCAGGAGCAGCACTGGAAGTGTTCCAACTTGGGTTTTAAGTAATACAGACTCATCATGAACAGGGTGCAATACATTACTATTAGTTTGCTCCCATATTTAATATCTGCAGAGCAGGGGGAGATAGGGGAGCCCTAAGATTGTCTTTCAGGCTGCAAAGAAGAGCATGGCTTGTGAATAGGGTAATCTTTTTGGTCCCCCTGAGGAACACCAGATTATTTTCTGCCCAAATTCTTTCTCCCTTTGCCAAGATCCATTCTTCTCACCTAGTTTCCATTCTTTATGCTTCCCTGTATAGGCACTATGCAATAGTAATCTTTTTCACCCAAATTTCATCTCATGGTATCTCTTTTCGCCCCCTGTTCTATTCTTTCTTTTTCTTACTTCCAGTACTCACAGCCTACTCCCTGACTCTACCTCCATATTCCAATCTCTGTCCAACAAATACTATTCTCTGATCCAATTTTGTTCCCCTTTCACTTTCTCTCCTCCTTCTTCCTCTGCCACCCCCAAAATCAAGCAAATCCCTCCTACACTTCCCTTGTCTGAAATCTACTCTCCCTCTTCAGCATTCACATCCAGCTTTCTCTCTTCTGTATTCAAATCAATCAAGCTCTGGCTCTGCACTTCCTGGGCACACAAGAGATCTCTAACAGTATAAAATAAGTTGTCTAAAACCAGATTCAGGAATTACACTGGAAGTCATGATGTCCAAATGGACAACTGCCTGTGTGGACAGACTCTCAGGGGAAGATAGCTGTGAAGCTCAAACAATTTTCTCAAGTCTATGTGAAAGGTACTTATTTTCCAAATGCAGATAATACAATAAAAATCAGGCAGATTTCCATACTGTTGTAAAGGCTTACCTTTAAAAGAAAGTTCCCTTGCTGTCAAGTCTTTAGTAAAGTTTAAGACAGCCAGTATTCATAATTTAAAAGGGGGTAGGGTGGGAGGCCTTTTCCGTTGCCTGGATTCTGCAGCCACTATGCTTCAGCAGAAAATAGAGTTTAACCACAAACAGCTGATATGAAAAATTGCAGCCCAAGATGAAAAAGTTAAAGCAACTGGAAAACAGATCCTTTACTTTCAAGTGACATGGAACCTCAATAACTGAGGCTGGTTCCAGCCCATTCTTCACTACAGTATTAATAGGCTGCTGTCCTGGGTTGAGTGAGTGGTGGAGTTTTTTTGGTGGCAGGGGAGGGGGCTATAGGGGAAGCTGTCATGACAGAAGCCCCAAAACTGCTTTACAGACTTTGATATACAGTACCATTTTGCCCATCTATGAAGTGGTCCTCCTCTTGAAAGCAGCAGCAGCAGCTTCACAACACGTGGCCATTAAAAACCTAGAATTTCCCAGTCAGATTTCCACGACAATTTATACCCAGTTCATAAAATTATTCACAACCCTCCCTCCTTTCCTTCTCTCCAAGACTGTCACAAGATCTTTAATAATTAGTGTCACAATAAGAGGTTGTCAGAACATGAGATGTCCCTCTGTAGCTTAGAGATCCAGGTGACGTTCACTGAACAGAAGCAAAGGGTTCTTGCCTGTGTGCCCACATTCTTTCTCCATCTTAGTGTTTACTTCTTTCAGTAAGAATGAAGAAAAACAAGCAAAAAACTCCTTGAAACAGAGGTTTGAGGCATCTGGGTATGCATCTGGTTTAAACAAAAATAGTCTAGTGCACATCCTAACATGAAGTACTGCATTATACATGAGGGTATTGCAGGCTAAAAGAAGGGAAATTGCATTAACAATTTACAGTTGGCTAAGGATAGATTTTTACAGTGCTACAAACTCAGCTGTTTACTCAGATTTGACTGCATATGACATTTGAACATGTGTAGCCTATTGCTTTAAAGCAGAAGCAACCAAAGCTTTCCTGATATGAGAACTGTACCATGATAGCAGACTGACAGAGCAGAACTGTAGCTGGCCCACAGTTAACTACTATGTTTTCTCGATATACTCTGCTGTTTACAGTTGCTAAATGCTTGCATGTCTCCTCCATGTATCAGGTTTGGATTTTTTTTAACTGTCTTTAAAAAAATACTATATTTTCTCCTGTCACAGGCTGGCATCTTGCCCTGTGAGGGTGACAAAAGTGTGAAGCATCTTACTAAAACTATGCAGAGAGTTAGAAGCAGACAAAATAAGTCATGGATGTTGACTCATGACTCAACTATAGTCCATTAACCACTACACTAAAAATGCTTTTATCCATTTTCATAAAACATAATGAAAAAATATAGCAAGCTCTCTATCTGTTTCCCCTCCCCATATATTTTAAGCATCCCGGGTGCTACTCAGTTTTCTGAAGTTTTTAATTTTTATTTAGATTTGCATGAACCCAGTTTTGACATTTCAAACAGAAGTGAAAATAATTTTTCCCCATGCACAGTTCTGTTTATAGAGTTTATGGCTATTATCACCACAGTTTCAGAGCTACTCTGTCCCAGCCTCGCACCTAACATAGCTGCTTAAATCAGCACAAAATACATTAACATGATGCATAAAGTTCTGCTACATCTGACATCTTCACTACTGTGTGAGCACTAGTGATCACAACAGGTGCACAACAGACCTTGGTGCAGAAGGACCAGAGAGTCATCAATCCTGATGTACTGTGATCTACTGGAGCAAGCCTGGGCCCAGCTGCAAGGAACCAGTTAGTTCTGATCCCAGTTCCATCCCTGACCTGCTGTGTGACTGATCATATTATGAGCTGTCCCTCCCAGTCTTATCTTCTGGATAGATAAGAGCATATTTTTAATCTCATATAGATGCCTTACGTGCATAATCGTTTACTTAGTGTTCAAATACAGTGGTAATTGTGCTTGAGTAACTGAGGGCACTTGAAGAACAAAAATCTCCTGTCAGTAGCGAAACCCCATCCTGTTCAAGCAAAATGTCAGCTTTTATCTACGCATATGCTACACTGAAGGAACAATGGCCTACATTTAAAAGTACAGCACACTAACAATTTACTAATAATTTCACAGACCATGACTCTGTCTATTCAATGGCAGCATGCCAAGTCACACTCTAAGAATTTTGGTTAAGAAGAAAAAGCATTTTTTTTTTTTTTTTACTTTAAGGATGTTAACTTCTATATAGAAAACCACAGCCATACCTACTGCTATGCTAGGAGAACAAGGGCATAAATCTGTTTTTGAGGTCACTTCATTCACTTTACTGTGTGTGGAACTTTACTGACTTGCATTCATTATGCTTGTTCTGCTCTGGAATAATACCAGAGTCAGGCCCATAGTTCCTGACCTAATAACATTATACTGTATTTAGTCACAGCATGAAAATAGGAGGAAAGGCAGCACCAGACATATACAGGGATATTATAAGGGCATAGACTGATTTGTCATTCAAGGTAAACACTGAAAAATTTTAAAACTCAATTCAGTTTTCATTAGCATGGCATGAATTTGTTGGCTATTGTTTCATTTCTAAATACAACTAGTATGACAGAAACAAGAATAGACCATAGGATCTTTATTTAGAAAGCACGATAAAGAATATTCTTCATGCAACACAAATGAGGGAGACAGAATGGCTTATGTTAAATTACCTCCAGTGGTGCGTGCCATTTTCAGAGCTTCAAGAGAAACAGCAGGGGTTATTTCTAGCTGGCAAACAACCACTTTGGCTTTACAGATGACATCAGAAGCCCTCTTCAGGTCTTCAACATTTAAAAGCAGGTTGGCTCCTGGGACTATGACAATAACATTCTGTCCTAAAGAGAAGATACTGTGTTTTTTACATTAGCTTTTGCAATCAAGTATGTAAAACAATTCCTTGCTTTTCTGCAATACATTTCAGATGAGTATTTCAATTTGCTTTCCAAGAACCCCCCCTAAAAATGTATGCATTGCTGACATTTTCAAATATCCAAAGATTTCAGAAGATAATCAAAAAGATCGACAGACTAATGAGTGCTACACTGTACAACAAATGCAGTATATATTTATTTGGGAAAAGTCATGTATGGGCTTTTCCCAGTCTTATTTTGGTGTTTTCTATGAACTCTAATGAAGCACTGTACTAGTTGTAGTGAAGATGGGGGACATATGCTAAGGCTGATATCTGCATTTTCCTAAAATATTCCAGTAGCCCTTGGAAGAGAAAAGCATCACTGTGATTACTGAGTTCACACACCAAAAATGCCATAAAAATTTTAATTTTCTCATCATCTGCAAAGAGAATATTTCACACAGCTATGAAGATTATTAATGTTCTTTAGATTTCAGAGAAGCAGGCTTGCTCCATTTACCTGCGACACTTTTCGTTAGGGCCCTATCCATCATGAAAACCAGAATTCAGCTTGCCAACAAAACCCAGAAAGGTAATGCCTGTGTCTAAGGAAAGCTTCATCAGAAGTAACTAAAGAAGGTAGGTGACAGATTCTTCTGCACTTAAAGCTGGCCAGCAGAATGGTCAAAGCAAAGCTATACATGCAGAAGCATGGCAGTACCTCAAAGCATATGTAAGATCCTTTTCATTCTCATCGTTTGTTTTACAGTTAGGTGAGGAGGTTCATTTATATAGGTTTCAAATATTCTTTTGGTTTTTTTTCAGACATGCAAGTTGCCTTCTTTTATTGCAGTTTCTTTCTTTCATTCTTTCTTTTTTTTAATCTCTGTTACAACACCTTGAGACCTTCAGGCATGGGTGCCTTCAAATTAAAATTTGTTATTAATCACTCTGGTATTAAATTCAATAAGTCAGTTGTTCCTTGATTTACAGGCTCAGCCCGCCCCCGCTGAAGATTCCTTTAAGTACTGTCAATCATTAAGGGCTACCAATTCTGCAATGAACTGAATTACTCTGTAAATAAATATTTATGTTTTTAAATACATTATTTTTGTTGAATGCGACTTCAAAGTCCTTTGAATAAGACAAATGCAAAGCTTGTCTCTCTAAATATGTTCTGAAAAGAAAGCAGGACAATGGAAAGAATAATATAGTGATCTCAGAGGGAGGGGCCCAAGCTTTCCAAAGCAATTCTGCTGTCAATGGTTTGGTACAGAACAGCTGCATATGAAAAGCAAAACCTCAGCGTTTAAAGCCAACGCCCTGCTTTTCAACAGACAATGATGGGCATCTTGGATAAAAAAAAGAAAAAACCTTCTGCAACAAGAAAATGCTATCAAAGATATCTGAATCCTGTTGAGGAAACATCCAAAGGCAAATTGCAGCTATTTTGCCAAGCATATATTGTGAAAGCATAAAGGGTGCAGCAGTGCAAACAGTAAAAGGCAGGGGATCAATAGTACAAAAATATATTTCATTTCTGCCTGGACTCTGTGCTACCCAGAATCTCAGACTCTATCCACATGTCTTGCTGCATTATCTTGCTGAACTATTTAGTTGCACTGACATGTATATTATTATTAGGCTTCAGAGCTAATGGCCCAAGGCGATAAGGACGGCTGTTTGCTTAAACCCGTATGTGCAAATTCAAGGTGGACCATGCTGCACTGGATCACAGGCAGAAGGTTTTTGTTCTAACTACAAAAGGTCAGAGACTTAAAGTCTGCTTTCAGTCCTGCTAGGGAAATGCAGTACCTGCTGTGGTGTAACAGTCCGGACGGGCTTAACCCAAGCTTTAGAGAAAAAGCCACATTCTGTTCTTAGTTACATATACCACACTGTGAATGACAGCATTCACCACAAACTTACACAAGTGTGTATGAAAGCAGAATCTGGACCCATGCAGTCACAATTAATACCAGAATTTTGTATTACTAGCGACCATTTTGTTGAAAGCAATTATTTCTTGCCAGGGAAATCAGATGGGAAATCAGCACCAGGGACAACAGAGTTAAAGACAGATGGCAAAGAGGGGTGGGATTCATCTTGTCCAACATTAACTAATTTTTAAAGTTTTCAAAAAAAATCCTACCTTCTAGAAAATTCTAAGAAAACTAATTTCTAAAAATTCCTAAAAATTAGTTTTCTAGGTTCCTTCAAGAAGGGGGAGAGACAAGTATTTTCAGAATTTTTTTAATCTTATATATCTTAGGTATCTGTTTCAGAAGGAGATAAACTGTCATCTGGAAATGCCTATGGATCTTTGCTAAGTCTAGGTGAAGCCTTAAGGCATACATCTAACTTTGAAACAGCTCAAGTGAGGTAAAATGTTGCCCACACTAAGAATGAGAAAAATAGTCTTACTGCATTACAGTTAATTCTAACATATCATTACTTAGATGAAAAATTCTATAGATGGGAGCATCTATATAATTTTAAGTTTTGCAGACATCAGCTAAAATATTAGGGGCCACATTCACAGTTGCTGTAAGCCAGAACTGCTAAATGAAGCTGATAAACTTGTGCAAGCTTACACCAGATGGGGATTGGGTCCAATCAATACTTAAAACAGTGTGAATGCTGCATATGTAAATACTGTCCTCAGTTGGCCTTCTAAACCTGCTACTGTCACTTCTTCGAAAGATGGGTAACTCAAGTTAGATTTTTTTTACAAGTGTCATTTTATAGATGCCACCAGATGAGAAGTGCCAGTGGAAAAATCAAAGGCAAACCAGTAAACACCACAGTGCAATAATCCTTACTTTTTAAAATGGGATGACAAGCCTAAAAGCCATCAGTAGTGCTTAGAACTCACCAAAATCTCAAACAATGCAATTATAACAATAGCTGCAAACCTTCTGCATAATATTTCATAGGGAAAAAAAGATTACATTTGTGACCAGAAGAGAATGTTACAAGAAAAACATTTGCTGCCAAATCACACAGTTCATTAATATAAGGGCAAGTTTTGGGTGTGTCATGGTATCATAATTTCTAAGCAATTACTTGGTAGGAGCATTGAATAGTCGTGTACACAAAACATTCAAGCTCATGATTAATGTCAATACACAGAAATACTATAAAAATTCAGGTGATGTTTCTTCATAGTGCTGAAGATTCAAACCAAAGATTTTCTCTTTGGAAAGTATAATTTGAACATGTTGGCATGTGTATTCTAAGTTTTCCTTGTTATTTAGCCTTATCTAAATATATATTTTGAAAGTTTTTATACTAGTAGTGCTTTGGCATTGAAGGTACACTCACAAAATAACGCCTATTCACTGTTCATGAATGATTAATAACTTTATCGTAAAGTCAGCACAGTGCCTATCTCAAGTGAGGGTTATCTCCCAGTGTTCTGTGTTAGGTGAGCTTTAAGTCCTAACTTGCAATAATCAAGAGCACTTTAATCATGACCTGCCAACCTCTGTTGTCCCTCCACTGAATTTCTGCTATGAATACGGAAGTTGTCAGACTGGTTCAAACTACTGGTCCAGTCAGGCCAGCTTACTGGCATCGTCAACAGTCAGGACCAGATATTGACAAAGCTTCAATAAACTTCACAGGTAATCATTTAAGAAATTAACCATAAAGAGATTTTTTTCTTCCCTATGTGTGTATGTAAAAGTACAACACACATCATCATCACTGTATGGGGTTCTTACCGTTCAATAGCACACTGTGGGTAGAAGCGGCGCTAAGTGACAGAGCTAGTGGAAAGAGGGCAGGCTGAAAGGCGAAACAAAAGCTGGGGTTCAAAGTCATGTGATGCACCTCAAAGAAAATGTGTTAAGAAAAGGAGCTGCATATACCAGCTTTTTTCCTTCAGAGAGAAAGTACAGATTCAAAGTATACAGGGTCCTGGTAAACTGAAGCTCATGTTTAGTCAAAGCCTATATGAAGAGGCAGTTGCATAAAAGAGAACAACTGAAAGGAACACAAGTTTCCAGCAAAAGGTTTCTGCACGGATTTCAGAGTCCAGCCCAGAGGGAACCTTTGCAGTATCTCTGGGTTGTATTTCTCCAGTGCAGCACTATAAACTCGTTAAACATCTCTCCACCATTTTTGCATTAAAGCAGGGAGGAGTTTCTTTTATTGAAACTACACTGTATTGTCCCAGAATATAACACAACTTCGGGAATATCAAATGTGCCTGATAATTTTCAAATTTTTGGTACTTTGCCAATTACAATAATGGATGAGTTACAGCTGTGCAATTCCATAACCAGCAAATATCTTCCCAGAAATTCAGCGGCACCAGCTAGACAGACACAGATAACCTCAGGAAAAGCTTACTTCAGAGTTCCCTGACTCCGCTCTCTTCAGTTTTCTGTTCCTCTGCCTTCACTCATTCATCACAATCTGCTCCCTCTACTTGAGTACCTCTCCTACTTCTGCCTGGGATTTTACTCAGTTGATTGAAGTTGGTATTTTTCCCAAGTATTGGTACTTGTAAATAACTGGTAAGATGAAATGCAGGTTAGGTGTGTGAAAATACAGCGATTAAAACTTGTTGATTCAAAGAGATGATCCCTGTGTTTTTTATTTGTCCCTTGTTGTCTTAACACAAAAAAAATCACCACCCTCAACTTCAAATGCTTCCCTTTTAGGTATAATTTGAACTAGTAGAAACTACTTTACATCAGTGCATTGAATGCTGTGGTGTTTCAGCTATGCCAGCACAACTACCGTGGTAAAACATGCATGTATGGACAAGCCCTTTGAAAAGTGCTGTAAAACCTGTTTAGGTCAAATCAGCCAGGTTTCTACAGGAAAAAAAAATAGTGTCTCTTGCAACAGCAAAGCACATAAGTACTGCTATTTTATTGCAATTTACTCAATTCAGGCGCCAGATGGTTTTAGAGAGAAGTAACAACCAGAACCATTACCAATTCTGTGCATCTGTTTGCTTTAGAGCACAGTTCTGACCAGGTTTGCTCTTCTTCTAGATTTTAAATGAAATCTGAGGCCAGTGGTAACTTAATTTAGGATTTTTCAGTTTCTGAAAAAAACAAACTACATGACATTATGCATTATTCATCTCACTATGTGAATAACAGGATTATTAGAGACCCTTCACATTGACACTAACATGTGAGACAGACCATTGTGAACCTCATGGCACTGAACAGTTTCCCTTTCCTGGTGTTTATAAAGTTTCAGATCCACAAGATGGTTTTCTTCCTTATCCTTCAGAAAAATTCATGGTGTTGCCATTTTGACAGGTTGTCCTATGTTAATTCAAGTTTAGACCATGTTTATCTTAGTTGGCCATGCATATGAATTGCGAAGTAATAAGACTGCTTCTTATTCGACTATTCTGGACAGCAAACCTAGTGCAAAACATGGTTACATGCACAAAACGGGGAGGCCTGGGAGTGCACTGCTGGATTCTCACTGTCTCTCCTATTTACAATGACCAGAGCAGTGACTGTACGTGGCATAAAAAAGAAGTTCTTAAGAAGTGCTGTGGTAATCTACCTGCCAATCCAAACCAAGAGAAGGAGGTGGAAGTAAGAGGAAGGCATCCAGTTTATTCAACGTATTAAATCTACCTTATTTCTGAATTAGAGCTGTCATGCAAGGCTTTGATTAATCTTGCTTAGGGAAAATTAAACTCACATCTCCAACTAATTTGCCTAATTTTCCTGAATGTTCCTGTGTAGACTTGCCTTTAGTCACTGTTCCTTCCCGTGTTTGATCCTAGAGTGAATAGTTATGTTTCCTTTCCCATTTTGAGCTGTAGCCCAATATACTACCATCAGGTTTCATAGGAGCTTGTTAAATTGATGTGTCAGCTAAACTGTGGTAACTGTTCAAATAAAGGCTCTTAGCTGCACCAGAAGTGAACTAATCCAATCACACTTAATTTGTTATGTTTGCATACACATTATCAGTCCTGAGCTCTAAATTTTGATCCAGAAACACACACTCCTCCTAAGAGCTCTCAATAGCACAACTTGCTTGAGGAAAAGATAAACAAAGTTTTCAGAGGATAATTTAGCAGTCTTGAAGAAGAATGTGAAAATAAGCCAAATCTTTTCTTCTTCCCCTGCAATATGGGAGCAAAGACACAGGCTAAGGAAAATTAACACAGAAAAAACAAATACACCATTTCACTGTGTATTCATCACTGCAGATGCAACTTGGGATCAAGAATTGTAGTAATACTACAAGATCAACATAAATATTTCTACTTATGCTAAGGACAACTCCTTTTCCTTATTCAGGGCATAATGACTCAGTGTGCTGAGGAGGCAAACACTTTCCTCATAGTAAAAGTACTGGGTAAGTTGTGGTGGAAGAAGGAGAGCTTTAACCTCTGCTACACCGTGTGTTCTGGCCAATGTCAAACTAGATAGATCAGCTGGCTGACTGAATTATGGCTATCACACTGCTAATCTAAGCCTCTGATTCTGCTGCTTTTAGGCACCTCATCCTACAACACTGCCTGTAATAAAAGGAAGTGTAACTAAGTGTGAATAAGATCATGAAAAAAATTAAAGATGTAGAAAAAATAATTCCACAAGAACCAGTGAGAAGGCAAAGGTTTCTTTTATGGCTGTAGAGGCAGAACAAAGAGGACAATTCAGAGTAGAAATATGTACCTTCGCTGTTGACAATTATTGAAGCAGTTCCAGTAGCAGCATCTGTAGTCTGACCTACAAATGCTAAGAAAGGGAAAAGTTACAGCATGCATTCGTTCAATACTTTACTTTCAACCAATAGCATGGGATGCAGTTTAATTGAATTAAATCTAAAATGAACCCATAACCTCCAGCAATTTAAAAATGCTAATTACTCTTTCATGTGCAACAATGCCAGAGAAGCTAACAACAACAAAAAGTGTTAATTTACACCCACAAAACAGAAATGGGAGTCCAACATTCTTTAATTTGGCTACATTGCTGCTTTAGAGAAAGCATGTTATTTATACAGCCTTCTCAGGCACTCTACTCCTACATGGAAGTATTTCTTTTATCCAATGAAACAATAGAGTCAAGGCTGCAGAAAACAAAAATATTAAAACAACACAGCATTTATTTCTGTGTAGATTTGCATTTCAGCAGTAATATTAACATGTTCTATGAAGGCAGTGGTGAGGCTGTATGTTTCCTCTTTGGGTTATTATTCCGATAAATTAACTAGAAGTGAGGCTGGCAGCACTGTCTATTATAAAGATTGCTCCATACACACTACTGTAAGAACCTGTTCTCAGCTGTCAGCAAGTTTGTCAAATGTTAAACAGTGGTCTGAAACTTTCTATGACAAGTGGGGTTTTTTTAGGTTGAACTGTAGTAGAAAACTGTCAAAAAAAATGAGGTTTTTTCCCCCCAAGAACTGTATTTGAGAAAAATCTACTATTTTGTTTGAGAGAAATTCTGGTGACCTGTTTAAAAAGCTCTGGTGTTCTAACATTTTAGAACATGGACCTGACGCTGGGCAAAAGTTGGCTTCTTTCTTGTGGCCAATTTAAAAATCTGTTTAAATTTGAACATGGCTGAAAAAACACATAACATCAGGCTTATTTGCTTTTGCTAAAATATTGCAGGTACTCGCTCTGGAGGTACCCTTATCTAGTTCAGTTACACGGATCAGAACAGAATTTTCCTTGCAATTATAGCTTCTTTTCAGCATGAGATAGGCCTGCACACTGGAACTGAAAGCAGGGAACTTGCGTCTTCTGTGCTCTCAATGCTCTTCCTGTAGAAAATAAGCAACATAAGCAGCAAGCTGCCTAGTTCAAATGTGGGAGAGGGAGTAACACAGCAGTAAAGGTCTAAATGATCTGAGCAGCACTGGTAGCTGATAGGTTGTGGAAGACAGGAAGACTGGGAAAAGGAAAAATTACAAAACAGGTTGGAATTAGAAAAAAAAAGGGTAAGGTGTTATGTTAGGAAATAGAGGAGTGATATAAATAAAGCAGACATATGACAAGGATCTAGGATATAAAAGTTGACAGAACTGGCATTACTGAAAGGATTTTCATCCAGTACCCAGTATCCTTACGTACAACAACAGGGATAGGCTAGACAAGGATTAAACTGAGATGAAAAGTGAGGGACTGAAATAAGAGAGTCCTAAGCAAAAAGGACTGTGCACACTGATTCACCCTTGCCTCCAAATCTTGGAATGCAAGTTGGGATCCCAGACCAGCCTCATCAGCAGTACATCCTATCTTCCTCCAGGGCTGATCAACATATGGGATGACAATCTAGCACCATTCCGAGATATTTTTAACTCAATCAGCAGAAATTGGTACCTTGGACCTAAAGGTTCTGACCCTTCAATTGCTCTATCTAGGTATCAATGAAGGGCAGTATGATGGAATTTCTAAAACATTTTCCCTACACTTTTCTTTTTTTGCTATAAAGACAATTGAAACATTCATGTTAAGATTACATGATCGATCATTTAAATTAGAAAACATGAGATTTAAGGTTCCTTGTGGAATATACATTTTCATTAAGTGCTATGCATTAGAATAGCTTTATTTACATGATCAAAAACTTTATTCACAATGTAGGCATGCTTTGGAGACTTAGAATTGTACACTAACATTCTTTTTATGGTATCCTTGCCTGGTTTCTTGTGTAAGTTGGAAGATATGCAATGAATAAACCTGTATATACATTTGTGAAATATTTAGATGCTATACTGATAAGAATAATAAAAACGCCCACAAAATACTGATAGTTCTGTTTTTAAAGTGGGATTTGAACAATTCAGTAAATGAACCTTGTGGCTGCACATTAAACAGAAAAGATATACAGAATATTGAATTGCCATTTAGTGGCTGCATCTGTCCATCCTTGTCCACCCTGAAGGAGACAAGAGTCATGTAGACAAAAATGTGATCTTGTAGTTAAGCAGCACACAATAATACATTTACACAAGAGAGAGAACTAGGGTTACAAAGGTATGAAGATACTAGAATACTGTGAATGCTTAATTTTCCCTTTTCCCAAAAGCCTTTTAACATTGATTTTTGTGTGTATGTGTGTTAAAAGGCATTGGCTGCAGCCTCTAAAATGACTGCACATGTCATTTCACAAAATAGAGGTGAAATGTATGGAGTTGACAAATGCATTTCCACTGTGTACCTCCCCTCCCAACATGAAATTGAGAATGAATAATCAGACTGGATTTTTAAATTTCTCACCAGGCATTACCATCATTAATGCCAGCCTAAATAATTGCATAACAGCAAGTTATCTTCAGGTGACTTGCACCAATGTAATCATCTGAGATTTAGAGGTAATAACATTACATTTTATTTTTAGTGGTACGGCTGATTTCACAAGTCCCCATATTATCACCCATATTCATTCATTCCTGCCAGCCGTGTCAAAACAATTATTCATAGTTCTGCATGGCAAAGCATATCCAGTAAGGGAATAAGATAAGAAACCCTCCAGTAACAAATTTGAAAGCTTAAAAATAATACAAAAGGTTTCTTTAAAATAAAATTTTACCTGTAGAAATACCATTCTTCTTCAAATTTTCAACATAATCATTGCCAAAGGAATCCTTCCCAACCTGTATAAAAGATAAAAGGATAGGTTTTCTTTGCAGAAAGGTGAGAGAATAGATAGATCATCTTCAGATAACAGAAGGCTCTAATGTAATCTGAATACAACACTTTCTGTTTTGCAGCACTTTGCCTTACTAATAAACTAATAAATAATATTAGTATATTAATATAATAAATAATAGTATTAATAAACAACAGAATTAGTGTTCTGCAGTTTTCTCCTCCTCCATTAAAAAACTCTCCCCTATACCCATGTCACTATATTCAAGTTTCATTCTCGTACCACCACTGTGTTCCCTTGACACTGAAGCTTTCTAGGGATTGTAAAATCTGGAAATGTACTGAATTATTCAGCTTTGAATTGAAAGCATTTATAGCAACTCTGGTGCCCTTCTTAACTGCAGCTTGCATTTTGATTTTTCTACCTCAAGTTTCCTTGGTGGAAAAATATCAAACTGTGGTATGGATAGAAAGTGACGATAAACATGGCATTGCTGATTTTTGTAATTGTCAGTACTAAATGTACTGTTTACAAATTCAACATTTTTTGTTTGCTTTATCCAGTAACAGCAGATCAAGTTGAGTTAGGGAGTCAAGCTATGCTCTATTGTTTTTCTAACAGCAAGTTAAAGACCTTGTAATTTCAGCTCCACTAATCCTTTTAGCTGAAGAGAATTCTGCTTGCTGTTTATTCAGACTAATAAACATTGATTTTTGTTATATTATACAAGCTGAACAAAGGAGATGAGGTGTATGGAGAAAAAAAATGGTATAACTTGCTTAATGTCAAAATAGCATTTAAAATATATTTATAAAGCCAACATAGCTTTTAATTCACCACTTTTAGCCTATGTCTTCAGCATGCATAGTGAGTGCTCCCACTTCAAAGAGTAAATTGTGTATCTGAGCAGTATCAAAAACTGATCAATGCTACAGGAAGTATTTTTGCAAGAGTTAAAATAGCATCTTTCAGATTAGAAGCCAAATCAAGATCCTGGTCACAGTCTAGAAAACAAAGGAATTACACAAGGAGCCCTAACTAATGATCCGTCTTCTCATAAAATAGCACTAAATAGCTAATGGTGTATTTGAGTTACTGGAAGCACAAAGCAGCTGCCTCTCTTGCCTGTTCAGTCCTTTAGCAAGCTTAAAGAAGGCCTGAGTACTAGCTAGTGATCACAACAATGAAAGCCTGCAATTCAGAATTATAAAATTTCAAGTATCGTGGATGGATGATCCTTCCCCCTACATATTCTATTGCACAACCATGTTTGGAAACATACTTTCATATCCTACAGATCTCGAAGGGATTTTTGTAAAGCATTATTAGGAATGGTCTCACTCTTTCACCAAAGGAGGACAGCAATTTAGGTCAAAACAGTCTAACCAGATGGAACATTCCTCTAGTACATGGGAAAAAAAAAAAACAAAAAACAAAAAACAACAACAACAAAAAAACAACCAAAAAAAAAACCAAAAAACAAAAAACATTTACTTTGGTCACCGTGTTATTCATTGTTTGCATATTAGAATATTTCTGTATCTCTGACTACTCCCAGTTTGCCAGACAGGGCGGGTTGTCAGAAGCTGCATCTTCCGACTGCTTTAGGCTGGATGACTGCAGCCATCTGCAATTTAAACCTGAGTCGTGCTCACCTCTGCAGCCTAACAGTTGTACTACTGGAATGTATTCTGCCTGATGGTATCACTTTCTCCCTCCCTGCTACAAAGTTTCTACAACGAATCTCAGGATTTGCTCAGTTATTTCAACAACAAAATATTTCATAACTATTTTCCAGAAGCTTAACTGAAACTTCCTTCCTTCAGCTCTGGGTCCTACATAACTGACAGACAGGCATCCTTTATTGTTCAACTGTCATAACAGCTGATATCAGCTGTGCTACTTTTGCTCACAGCAAGACATCTCAGTGCTGGAAGGAAGCCCTTGGAGGGGTCTCCATGGAGGTCCTTTTCCTCTGGAAACTTTTTTCCATGTTAGTTCATCAGCATCCAACCCAGTTAATCCAAGAGTGTTTGAAGGGCTTATCTTTCCATTCAGGCCATACCCCCAAGGAAGACAGAGTATTGGGCATCAGACTCATTTTAGATTAAAGGCATATTTACTGACCATGTCAAATTATATAACACTGTTTTAAATATTTTCTGCTTTTGCACAGACCCTGCTAGATGGACTATTGGGTAAACAGAAAAATAAATGTCTTCGTCTGCTGACCACAGAACATTGTATGTGCTGAAACAGCATTTCTTTATTGAGTTCTTAACAACAATAGCCATTTGTACAGGCGTTATGGTCATATAGTTTTCATATCAGAATGAGTGGAATTACATCAGTATTTTTCAATCTGAATTTTCCCTGCTTACTACCATGTTTTCCATGTGGAGCTAGGGGAGCTGGCTGGCCTCTTAGCAGCTAGAATTCTAGCACCTTAGAGAATCAAACTCATCTGTACCTGAAAATGAATTACAACAAAAACATGTATGTCTTCACAATTGTTTGCTTAATGTAATCTATATGCTCTTTTTTTTGAGAGTGTTTACTCTTTTTCTTCATTAAGAAATGAAACAAGTACTAAAGACAAGTATAAAACAGTAATACAAAAGGAAAAGACAATCGAAGATATCCATGATATTCTGGGCTGCATCTGAGATATAGCTATGTTCTTGCAATGAAGTGAGGATTCAGGCTTACAGCACTTCAACTTAAATTTGGCTTATAGATCATCTAAAGAGAGAAGACTACATAGCATGGTAATACAGTACTTCCCATCTCTAAGTAGGAATCAAATGCTGCTGAGGCTTAAGTAAGGATCATTCCAAATTGTTTATCAGAAGCAAAACAGGACTTTTTTCAGCACATACAATATCTTTCACACCAACATCCCTCCACCATCTTCATCTAGGATGTTTAACAGATTTTTTTGGTAACAGCTGCTACTAAACAAGAAAAAAAAAAAAGAAAAAAAAAAAGAATAGTTTTGTGCATTTGGAATCTCTCAAGACCACTGTGCCTTTTTCAGTATTGTAACAGGGTTCTTGTTTGAACATGAACAATTAATTTATTTGCTTAGATCATTTAGTTCCTTGAGAGTAATCCTTTACATTTCTTTGAACTTCTTTCTTGTCTTTTTGAAGTGGCAACTATTCCACCAATACATTGTTTTACTGTACTGAGAAAATTGAGGAGGGGAGTTTAAGACTGTGATACATATCGATAACCCAGAGTAACAGCAGCCACTTGCAGAGACATCCAGGCAGAAAGTAGGACACTGTTTGCATTTTCACTACTCACACTCAGTACTTGGATTCTACATTAAAGTCCACAGCATTCTGTGGCATCTCTAGTCATAACGGTAAGTCATTCTAAAACTCCATCTTTCAAACCCTCACCAGATAGTCACTGGCTCTCTCCTGTGTTTTAAAGTTCTGAGGTATGAAGAATGCCTTGCCACTTGATCTGAGATGTCTAACTCTACTCTTGTTGACATCCTCTGTCTAAATTACGGTCCTTGTAAGAGGATGGAACACTCCAGCAGAATGTCCCTCTAGTATTAATACTGATTCCATTCCTTAAATTTCAGATTGCAGAAGCAATTATTGCACTTGTACTGGATAAAAAATATTGGGAATTATGACCAAAACATAACCATGTTACTGAGAACAGTGTGTGTGTGTGTGTGTGTGTGTGTGAGGGGCAATCTGGCTTTAAGAATTACGGCATACTTACGATGACTTGTTAAAGTAAAAATAATTGAATTGTAATGGTTCATTATTGCCTGATTCTTCTTAGTGTATTCATCAAGAAACTTTATACTACGTTCCATTGACCTATGCAGATATAAGACTGCACTGCTATGAGATGAGACTATTTTGTGAGGCTATAAAGTGCAATTTTAATTTAAAAAGTAAATATTAACTTTTAAAATTAAAAAATAATACAAAATGCTAACATCTATAGATATTAGAGTCATTCTCTGCTGCTTCTTTTCTCCGATAAATACACATCAGAAAGAAAGAACGAAAACTAGGTTTTAGTGAAATATCATAAATATGATTTTGGAAAGTAATTAGAAATTATAGTAACTGCTAAATTTTATTAGGAATGCAAATGTTTCCAGAAACATGTATGCACTGAGCAAAGGCTAGACCATTAAAAAATAAAACAAAATTCACACTTTCAGTGGAAAAAAACCCTTTAACATTTAGCAGGAAATGTTAGCAGGGAATTCATTGCCAGTTCATCTTGTTCTTGAATGCAAAGATGATCAAATATACACAATATTACAGAAGCACAGACATTGCCAATATAAAAAAAAAAAAAAAAACACACTGTAGAACAACTAGTGATAATGACCAACAGAAATGGCTGCAGGTGTAATTTAGATTTATAGCTACCACTCTTCAGCCTAAATATTGGTTTGGAAAACCACTGAGAAAGTCTTCCTTAAAACGTTTCCAGTACTTCTCAAAAAATCCCTGACAGACAACGATCCAATAAATCTAGCATCCTCCCCAGCTATGGCAATAATAAAGGATGTCCAGTCAAGTTGAAGTTTCATTTACAGTTAGCACAGCATAGACAATAAGGCTACAGAAAATTGGATCTTAACTTAGTAGTGATCACTCAAAACTTACAATGTTTAATGACAAAAATCAAAGAAAAGCATTGTAAGAATAAAGTAACTGCCAAGCTGAATCAGCCCAACGGTCTGTGAGCTAGTCTTTAGAACTGCTGTATATCAGATGTTTCAGAAAAATGGACAAAAATATCCCATAGCACAGAAAGGTGCTAGAATTTATACACGAACATCTCATCCTAAGCTCAACTAATGAGATAACGATTTAACCCGAGGCACAAAATTTTAAATTCCTTCTCCAATGGCTTGTCAGTGTCTGATTTATAATCATCTACAAAGCAAGCTTCAGATTGACTATAGTGCCTAGCACCTGAATGTCATCAATGAAGCCCTGATGGTTGTAACAGTGGGCAACATAAAGAGGAGGGGATAATCAAGATAACTTAAATTTTTAACATTTCAGATTCTCTCCAATTGTTTTTTCCATGGTACATGAATTTAAGTTTTGCAATCCTTCTTTATGCGCAACTTCTGCCAGATCTCTAGCCAACAAGTCTTTGGTTCTGGCAGTGTTTTTAAAACAGCCTCCTCCATGCTTAAATTTATAGCTGAAAAAATGAAAAGAAAACGGAATTAGAGAGGGATTAAAATCAAAACAAAACAATTTGTCTGTATGTCACCTAAAGGTTTACTGGAATTTGCATGAATATTTAGCTCAGATGTAATCCAAGAGCAAGTCAGCGCTTACCTTGCAGATCAGTGAGGTCTTGGCCCCAAGTCGAGCAGACTGGACACACTGGTTGGCTCCCTTCCCACCAAAACCGATGAAAAACTTATGTCCAAGGATAGTTTCTCCAACTCTTGGCAATCGGGTGGTAAGGCTATTCCAATTTAAAGAAACATTTACATACATTAGTGACTGAAAATAAGAAGCATCTTCAAAATAAGAGTTACATTCTTATAATCCTAAATGGTCCAACAGTAAGACTGACAAAAGATTTGAAAGACCTTTTAGGGTCTCTCTTCCACATCCCACTATTTTATGTTTATTCCTTATATGCCACCCAGTCAATCTTCTCGTTTGTTACTCAAGAGAGGGATTGCATTTCTTTTGTTCATGTTTCTACAGCAAAAGAAGCACTTGATCCCTGACTGGGATTCCCAAGTACTACTAACCCAATACAGATAAATAATAAATCTATAGGTCTCACTGCTCATGTTGTTTTACTGTAACATTCAGCTCAAGTTTACATATCGTTCATTTAATTTCATTACATCTAATTACATCTTCTTGAACCACCCTCAGTAATTTTTCACTTTATTGGTGTTCACGCTCCTCAAAATTGTAGATTGTTATCAAAACCTTCCTCCCCTCTGCTGTCACTCAGCTGCACTGTACATATTAACTTTTTTTTTTTTTAAGTTTTTCTCTTACAAATCAAGCTTTACAACTTCTCAGCATTTAGTTGTTTCTTGAACGCAGTCCAATTACATTTACATCCTTCTGGGGATGGGTGCCCAGAACCAGATGCATTAATATAAGTGGAGACCCATCAGGAGTGTATTCTGGTTTAATTTCTATTTTGGAAAAAAACAAAACAAAACTGTAATTTTGTTAGCCCTACCAGATGCTTTGCTATCTCCAGCAAAAGTTGAAAGGAAGAAAAGACACCACTGAGACTATGTGGAAGAATTTATCTGAATGCAAAAGGCTAACTTACTTTTGCCACTTCTATTACAATACTTAACTCAGAGCTGTATTCACAACATTGAGATTACTAAAATTTCTGCCTCCTCAAGCCATACATTCCAGGCACAAGGTTTAAAAATGTAATTCCTTCTATCTTTTAAGCTACAAAGACGTTCACAACACGTGTGGAGGGAAGGCCTCCTATGATGTACCAGCAACCTGTTCAGTCAATGATAGCTCAGAGACTTCCAAAAGTCTGTAGGAAAGAAAGGGTGAGTGGGGAAGGGGAGTCTGAAAGAATGTAGAGGAGTCTACCTGAATGAGGAAAACATTAACATCAGCTTTATTTGTAAATTTATAGTATTATTTTACAAATAAATCTTACAACAGCTTCAAAATTGCCAACCCTCCAATTCAGAAAAAAGGTGACATGCTTCTGCACTAGCAAATCACTAGAGTGCTTTTTGAAAAGTATATGAAGAATATGTGTATATTACTTTCTGAGTTTATGCTGCAACTTCTAAGCATACTGGTGTTTGCAAAATCTTATGGAATTAATGACAGAGCAGAGACTGATTTAGTGAAAATTCTCAGGAAAAAGAAAAAATTTTTTCCTACTAATTTTCAATTCCAGCATCCATCAGTCCAAAGGTTTAGGATCATTAGGAAGTCAATAAAACCTAAAATTAAGCTAGCAAAGCCAAACAAGTCATGAACTCCCACTTAGAAGTTATTACAGGTCTGTGCTTCATCCACAGTTACAGTTTCCAGAGAGATGAAGGTAGGGATGCAGACTCCAAATAGGGATATTTGCTAATAGAGCACCCCAGATTTCAGTGTAAGGATATGGTACCCAGCCAGCACGATTATTTTGTGTGGGTGTCCATGGAGAAACCCCAGAAGGCTCACACGTACAGCTAATGGCACTCATTTTCTTTCCAGAGAGGCAGAGCTGGGAACATTCAGTTGAGAAATGTTTAAACCATTTTAAATAAAAATACAACAGCTTTTTAGAAGTATACTTATAGGTACCTTATATATATATATATATGGAAAGGGTTGCTAAGTTAAAACTGTTTGCCCACAGCAGCATCTGTCAGGTTGTTTACAATGAGTAACTGTAAGGTTTCAGGGAACAAGGTGTAATGAGTGTAGATAAACAACATTTATTAATGGCAACATCTATAATTTATCACTATTTTCACCACTGGAAGCCAAAGTAGTGATGGTTGTGGACCAGAGAATGAAGGCCACAAAACTCAGCTGAGGAAGCTTCTATTCAGCCTGTGCCAGGGTACTGCATGCACACTTCTAAAATTATGTGCCATTCAGTAAACAATAGTTGTTTCACCCAGCCTTGCTAAGAAATAGTAATAGCAGCTCTTGTATAATTCCTTTCATCCACAGATCTCACTACACTTTAAAAAGCAGAACAACATCATTATTCATGTTTTGTGGGTGTGAAACTCAGGCAAGTCATTTTGCCTTTTTGTGCCTCGGGTCAGCCAAGAAGCCAGTGGCAAAACCAAGAATAGAGATCAGCTCAATCCAGTAGCTCACACTGTCTTCTCATTTAAATTCTGCAGTATGAAAATGGTATCAAGTCTCAAATAATTTTCCATCTTTAGGGTGTTTTTCAGATATTATAGTTTATTCTAAATAGAATTTGTTTCCACGAAAAGCCAATACATTTTTAGACATTTTAGATTAACAATTGCGACATCCCAGCAGACAACTGCTGATAGTGCTGCTGAGTTCATATGCATTTTCAAGAAGTATGTTCAACCATACACATTCTTGTTTTAACAGTGACCAGATCATGACTTGATTCTTCTCTCAGTTATGTTGGCATCAACATGCAACTCCAATGCAAGCATCATAATTGCACTGGTGAAAAAACAGGCTTGGTGAGATGAGAATCTTTGCCTCAGTGTTTCAAGCAACATGGCATAACAACTGCCTGTGGGAATCAAACAGCCTGCTGAAGACAGGGAGATGACTTTTTTATTGTTTTGATGGAGAGGTACAAGGCAAAGGGCAAAGGATCGAGTTGGAACAGACTTCTAATTAGCCAATTTTAAAAATAGGATAACAGACTAGGCAAGAACATGCAGCAAGTTCTGGTAACTCACTGTAAACAAAACCCCCACCTTATTACATTTCAGGAATGATCGCCAATCCTTTCAGAACAATTCTCCACTCCAGAAGCCTATTTTTATTATCCATATTAAACAAATTGAGAATACTGATCTATATATATGCCTGGAGGTTTCACTTTCACTGAAACAGGTATTTAAGAAATTCTTTTTTGCTAATTTAATGCTATTCTTCTGTCATTTAATTCTGCAACTAACTTTTGATTCACATCAGACAATTTTAATGAGAATTTCAGGCTTCTGTTATGAGCAGGCAGTGATGAGTAATCTGTATGATTAAGGAACCCTATAAATTCTTGGCTTATTGATGGTGCCACAATGAATACTCAAAATAGCCTAAAAGTGATGAAACAGCTAGTGTTACTCCAAAACTAGGCTAAATAAGTTAATTAGAAAAACTGTCACATGAGCTTTCAGAATTGTTACATAAAATGTTTTGTAAAGCCATTTACAACTTTGATGTAATTTGAAAACACTGACCTGAAAAACTTAATATATTAAGTTGCTATCCAACAGACTACACTTTCCTTACGTGACAAATTCCACACAGCTTTGAGAGGATAAATGGTACAAAGGATATTGAGCTCTCATGTCTTATGAACAACCAGAAACTAAACTTGAAAATCCCCCAACACTTATTAGATGGGAAATAAAATTGCCATATAGCATGTTTTGCAAATTGTGCACTGTACTACTGAATCATGTTTTCAGAGGAAAGTTCAGACTGAAACATCCTGAAATACTTTGAACATTACAAATAAAGGAATATAATCACTCAGAATTTCAACTGAGTTTTTGTAAAACAGTATTTAAATGTAAAGCACACAACAATGCTGCCCACATTTGCTCATAGGAAATGAAGAATCTTCTATCTGCTTATGTTTTACAGGTTTGGGATGAATAAAAGTACACACATAAGAATTTTACCATTGCAGTAACTTCAGCTCTCTCTTCCAGTAAGTGTGTGCCATGAGTTCCCTTAAAGGCTCGAGCTGATTAGCATTTGTATTTTTAGACAGACATCCCTTCAGAAGGATGGCATTAGAAACAGAACAGAACCCTTTACTACTGTCTTGAAGCACTGAATCAGAGGTGAAAGTGCAACTTACTGAGTCATTAATGCCCCTTTCCCCGGTATTCTGGGTTTTCTTGAAAAGTTCCCATCTAAGCACTGATTAGATCATATTCAGAGATAGAAAGTCTGAAGAAGGAAGGAGGGGTGAGGGAGAGATGTATACTAGTGGCATTTGCATAAATTAATCCTGAAATTAATCATGGTTTGCTTCCAATTCTTGACCCCTAACCAGTGTCTGTTCATTGTTTTCAACACATGACAGTACTCTAAATATGTATTTTTACTTAGCTTAAACTGATGTAAAACCATGCCCTCCCTTCAGCAGCATTTTTCCAGTGTTTCTCTTGCATTGTTTTTATTGCTCACAGAGCTTCCTAATTCAAAATATTTTTGTTCCAAGGGTTACTTTAATCTAGATCAGCAAATTGGTCCAAGTTACTGTACAGCAGCAGGCGTGCAGAGAGGTGAGTGAGGGGAGGAGCAGGAGTGCCTTTGCTGGCCGCAGTAGAGCCAGGCTGTCCTAAACCAGTGTTGAGACTTTGACTTGATACTATTTTGTATGTTGAAAAGACTGAATACTATGTAACTAAGGTTTAATTACGCAATACCTATACTTAGCTCATATTGAAGAAAAGCACAAACTATCAGTATGTTTCTGAGAAATGACATGTGCATGAGAAGAAAAGTACATAAATACTTTTTCTCTAAAAAAGCTAAACAATATTCTCATCAGGCAACTCAGAGGGGAATACAATTTGTACATTAGATTAGATACCACATTATCTAGGATGACTGTTTTTTACATAGTAGCATAAGAAACATTCAGACTTGTTTTTATTCCTGAAGAAAGGTGAAGATAAGGAAGGTTATCAAAACAGGAGAGGAAATACTGCATTTAAAAGTGTCCTAATACAAAGGAATATAAAGTAAAGGTCTACCATTTGGCTTTGATTCTGCTTT